ACCTTTAAAAGTATAAAAACCATTCTTATATCTCTGGCAAGACAAGAGCCACACTTGGCCTAAAGGTTGAAGATTATAGACACCTATGTTATCTAGTTACTGGCCATCTTTCTGACCCAACCCCCTGCAAGCAAACACACATTTTATTTTCATTATTTTTTAAAATATTTGGGTTTTTTTTGCCATCCTTGATGGCGCAACGGGTTAAAGCACAGCACTGAGAAGCTAAAGCCACTTTAGCATGAGTTCGATCCCTGCCCCAGAGGTGATCCACATGGTGCAGCTGACCTCTCCTGACCCGCCTGCTGCTCCCTTCCGCAGTGTACATTGTCAATCTGTTCTGCTCCCCACTCTCTCTGCTGAATCCTCTCACTGCCCCTGCACCTCTGGCCTGTACCCCAGTTCAGTATGCATAAATAAAATAAAAAAAAATTTTTAAGATTTATTTATTTATGCATATAAAAGCTAGGATATAGGCCAGTGATGCAGGAGGGTGAGAGGATTCACCAGAGAAAGAGTGGGGGAGCAGAACAGGTGGCTTTACTGAAATATACTGCTGAGGGGAGCCGTGGGTGAGACAGGAGAGGTCTATTGTGCCAAGTATGTTAGCTACATGGATGGAGATGGAACTCCTGCTAGAGTGGCTGCCTGTAGCTTCATAGTGCTGAGCTTTAACCCCTTAGACCACTAGGGAGGCCCGTAAACACATTTTTAAACTCATTCCTGGTGTTTTCAATTTCTATGTTCCTGGGAAGCTTTTTCTTAAAATAGCTATTGCTACTGTGACCAACTCCTTTGCTTTTTCAATTCTGTTGAAATATCACCTATATTAGAGAACCCTTTTGGTTATTCTAAAATAGTAATAGCAGCAATCTCTTTCACTCTCTCCCCACCCTCTTCACCCATCATCACTTTCTGTTCTCTTAATATGCTTTATTTTCACTTCCAATTTGTCAACATGTAATACATTTATTTGAGCATTGTCTTCTTTCCCTTACTTCCACCTGCCAGGAATATTACACACATTGTGATAAAACTCCCTAAGAACAAGAACCTAAATAAGGGTTTTTACAAAACATGTTTTCTTCAATGTTACAGCTTCAATGTCTTTAAAAGTATTACATAGGAAGTACTTGGAAAAGGTGGAATGAACAAACAAAGTGAACCCTTCTCAACAGCACCGGATTTTTAAAAAATTCTGTCTTTTTTTTTCCTTATCATTTTAGTTATTTGAATTTTTATAACTGTAGCCAACAAATTAATGGGTTTTCCAGTGTCATTGGTAGAAAGCTTACAATTTGTAGGTAGAGAAGTATGAATAAGAAAATACTGGATTTATATACTCTATAATTCTGTAGTATAAATACTTCATAAAGTCCTACTTTGGGAGTTTAGGTAACTTTTCGGAATGGTGATTTGTGTGAATTTCCTATTTGTCTCAATAATTTGAATGGTATTCATTTAGTAACATAACTTAATCACATTCAGGTAAGAAGTTATTTTAGGGATGCTAAGAATAATAGGCTAGTTGTAGATGTTTTAACCACATGAGCTTAATTCCTTCTTCTAGATACACTTGGCTCACCATAGTGCAAGTTGGTTTTGTGGAACTTTTATTAATACTACATTTGATAGGTTATGTGCATTATGTATGGTTCAGGTACATTTGATAGCTGCCAGATTCACCATTTATTAGCTGGGAGTTGAGTTAAACTTCCTGGGATCTCAAATTCCTGTCTTCTGACAAGGCACAAATATGCTACAGAGTGTGCCATTACCAGGTGATGTGAGGTGTGGTTTGTCTAGTAGGGAGGGGAAAGATAATTTTGTATTTGATATTTTCTTCTATAATATATGTTACTCAATGGGAGATGAACTCAGATTGGTATACACCTCTTTTGATTGGACATTTGATGGTAGGTTGAAAAATGTGTAGTTGCTTAGGTGAGAAATTGTACATATCTCAATAAATTGTTACCTCAATTTAAAAAAGGAAAAAACAAAATCTCTCTCCTTTTGGCTCAGATTTGTGTTGATATCTTTTGGATGCTACTCTGTGGACTATAATTCTTTTTTGCTTTCTCATCATTCTCCATTGGATAGCATTTATTAAGTAATATAGTTGAATAGATGAATGACTGCTGTGTGCTAAGTATCATTGTAGGCACTGGGGAAGTAGTAAACTGCAAGGATTATCTTTACCTACATTGTGACATTGGTACTACTTTTAGCCCCATTTTTTAAGTGAGGAAATAGGCACAAAGGACTATGTGGCCCAAATAGACTGGATCAAGAGACCTTACTGCAGAAATAACTATGGAAGAGGTTTCTTAAGAATCTTTTCCTTCACTCACACTTCCTGCCGCTCTAGCAAGACCACATTAAATGTTTGCTGTTTGTTCCTATAGCACCCTATCTAACATAACTCTTTCTAAACTTCACTTCTCTTATAATCATTTTTGTTTTTTTTTTTTTTGTTGTTGTTGTTGTTTGTCTCTGTTACCCACTAGACTTCAGTGTGAGGACAAATAAGTTAATACATATAAAGTATTTAAAACAGTGAGTACCTGGCACATAGCCTGTAACATACTGGTGATTATTTTTACCTGCTTTTTAAATTTTCCCAGTTGTTCACTGGCAAGTTAGTATTTTGAACAAAAAGTTGGCATTTTTTTCCTATATCAAGCTCTTGATTAGATACTAAGAAGAGTAGAAACGAAATTCTGAAAAATAAGTTTTGTATTTTTATAAGTTAGCATCTACTCCAAGAAGCTGTCAGAATTGTAATGTTTTTCATACATTTCAAAATAAAAAAGCCCTAACTTTACTATGGAAATTGACACCCTTAAAGTTGTTTGGCTTAGTTATATTTATTGCCCTTTTATGTCCTATCACCACCACCAGTGTAGTCAAAACTTCACATTGTTCTTGTCTAAAGTACAATAGTTAATGGAAAAGTCATCAGTAACCTAATAATTAAGATTCCTTGAATAATTTCGTGTATTTCTTTTTGCAGACCTTTTAATTTAGCAGAGCGGAAAGCCAGCGCCCTTTCTGTGGTAGAATGCGATCATGCACGAAAAGAAGTTAGTGTTCGAACTGGAGGATTGAATGACAAGAGCTCACGGAAAACGTATACTTTTGATATGGTATTTACTTCTTAATTCTTTATTATACATTAATGTAAGGTCATCCTAGTATATATTTCTTCAAGGTTCTAATATACAGTTTTAAGTTGTCTTTGAGTTGTCAAATTAACTCAATTTCAATTGGGTTGAGTAAGTATTAAAAACAAAATGATTAAAGTTACAGAAATTATATAAAATTTTAGGGATTTTTTGTTAATGTTTCTCCTTTTTTTTTTTTTTTAAGGTTTTTGGAGCATCTACTAAACAAATTGATGTTTATCGAAGTGTCGTTTGTCCAATTCTAGATGAAGTTATTATGGGCTATAATTGCACTATTTTTGCGTGAGTGAAACACAATTTTTTAAAATTGGTGCAGAAGCTTAGATGTTTAGATCTTTGTCTTTTCTTAAATGTCTTTGTTAATCTTGACAGGTATGGCCAAACTGGCACTGGAAAAACCTTTACAATGGAAGGTGAAAGGTCACCTAATGAAGAATATACTTGGGAAGAGGTACTTATTATTTGTAACAGATTTATATCACTAAGTGATTAAAATAAAAATTGGTTAAATGCCCCTGTCTTGAAATAGAAAAGACTAGAGTATCCATATTAAACATGATTTTAGGATAAGCTACTGTTAAAGTATATGGTATGGCCTGCAGTTAAGAAACATTGGAAAAGAGGATCAATGCATATGGTACAGTTAAGTTAAAAAGAGGACTATTTGGGACTGAATAGTTGCAACAGAATATTGTGGAAAGTGGAGTATGGGTAAGGCTTGAAGGAAAGACTTTGTAGTGAGTGAATGAACCTCAAATTTAGCCTAGCCTCAGGCAGTATATAGTTCTTCATGATGATCTTGGTGTTCAAGAAATTAAGGTGATTATAGGTAACTATTGTTGAATATTATAGAAAGCACGTAGTACATTTCATCAAGATTTCCATTAAATCTTGTGTTTAAATGATTTTAAGACTAAGTTAGTTTTCCAAATTACTAACATAAAGAGAATGTAGATTGTTTTTTCTAGTGGATAAGTAGTTGAGGCACTTGCTTACTTTATACATAGAAAATAAGGTTACAAAATTGTAATCTTAGGTATGGAGTATGCTTATAGTATAGTATCAAAATTTAGAGAGTCATAGCAATTTTGTTAAGAATACTTAACATATATAAAAAACACCCCTGTTTTATGTCAGAATTAAGGAGTATAATATGAGAAGAGCTACGTTGATTTAAATAGTGGTATTCTCATGAAGAAAGCTGGAAAGGATTATTGAAATTGGCTTTTTAAATAACTTGGTTCAGTTGCTTTTTCTTTTTTTTTTAAGTTTTATTTATTTATGTATTTAGCATAGAACTGGGATGTAGGCCAGAGGTGCACGGTGTGAGAGGATTCACCAGAGACAAAGTGGACAACAGAATAGGTGGATTCACTGAAATACACTGTTAGGGGGAGCAGCAGGAGAGACAGGAGAAGTCTGCTGTGCCATGTTTAGGTTAGCTTCCTGGCTGGGAATTGAATGCAGGCCATGGTGATACAGTGCTGATATCTCAGCCTTATGCCCACCAGGATGGCCCTCCTCAACTGGTTTCTGTGTAATCTTAGGATAAAGTGCCTGACATGAAGTACCTGATAGATTTGTGGAAGGTATGAAAAAGAAGAATAATTATTTCTGAATAGACTGTTGTAAATGAGTTCTCAAACATTTAGTTTCTTTTTTTAAAACTGGTTTTGGCACACTTAAGTTTAAATGTATTATAATGTTTAATTAAATATGTGGTAAAGGAGGCCCTTGTTATGTGTACATTAGCTGCCACAGTAAATAGCATTCTTCCTCTGCTTTAACCCTTACTAATACAATTTCAGGATCCCTTGGCTGGTATAATTCCACGTACACTTCATCAAATTTTTGAGAAACTTACTGATAATGGTACTGAATTCTCAGTTAAAGTATCTCTGTTGGAAATCTATAATGAAGAACTTTTTGATCTCCTTAATCCATCTTCTGATGTTTCTGAGAGACTACAGATGTTTGATGATCCTCGTAACAAGGTAACTCAGTCTTTGAGAATGAAATGTTTCCAAATGATAATTTGTGATGATTTGAAGTGTCAGTATACTTTTTTAAAGCCAATCTAATGAATGCTTTTTTGATATTTGGTCAGAGGGGAGTAATAATTAAAGGTTTAGAAGAAATTACAGTACACAACAAGGATGAAGTCTATCAAATTTTAGAGAAGGGGGCAGCAAAGAGGACTACTGCAGCAACTTTGATGAATGCATACTCTAGGTAAGAAAGCCACAGTCTCTCCCGCAGCCCCATTTTCTTTGTAAGAATTATAAACTTGGGGGAAATCAAATTGGAGTGGGTCAAAGTATGTGGGTCATAAATAGATTGTATGCTAGATTGCATGCCTTAGTCATTGTGGTTTATATGGAGAGCACCAATATTGGGAGAATGTTGAAAAAAGAATAAAAACAAGTTTTCAATTAGAACAAAAATACTAAGTGTTTTTAAGTAGAAAAAGCTCTTCCCCTCCCCTCCCTCCTTCCACCCCCCCAAATAGAAATTATACATGGGACCTCAGGTTAAAATGTAGCTGCTGTAGTTGATTTTGGGATAGAATGCTTAGAGGCTTACTTCCCTCAGCTTCTGAAGGTTTTCCTTGAATACTTTTCCGAAGCCCTTGTGAACACTTAGGACAGTCTTTGAAACCCCTGGTTGAATTAGGTTTAGAAGTCAAATGACTTCATTCTCCTTTCTCCCCCTCTCTCACAGCTTTAATGAGGTACTGTTGACGAAAGTTATATATATTTAGGTTGTACAACATGATCTTTTTTTTTTTTAGGCTTAATATTAATGAATTTAAGGAGATAGTCTCTAACATTGCCTTTCAAAGGGAGAAATGGCATATTTGTTAGTACCCATATCAGATGACTCCCTTATCTTAGAAATGCAGTTTACCAATCAGAGGTCACTTTTTTCTGCAAGTCTTTTTTTTTTTAAGATTTATTTCCTTATGCATACAGAACGGGGGTACATGCCAGAGAAGCAGGGGCAGTGGGAGGATTCACCAGAGACAGAGTGGGGAGCAGAACAGGTTGATTGACAGAGTACACTGCTGAGGGGAGCAGTGGGCGGGTCAGGAGAGGTCTGCTGCACGATGTGGGTCACCTCCAGGGCCAGGATCGAACTCATGTGGAAGTGGTTTAGCTTCTAATGCTGTGTTTTAACCCACTGTGCCACCAGGGAGGGCCTCTTTGGTCTTTTAAGTAAACATCAAGTATAATAGAGTTAGATATTTGTGTTTGATTTTGGTTCTGCAGTTAGCTAAATATTGTGATGTTAGGTTAAAAAAAGTCACTTTTCCCATTTATAAAATGATCATTAGGGGTACATCTCATTCTTTGCCCCTTTTTAGTTGGAAATTTCTATAATATACTATAACAATTATAATTACAACTGTGTAAAATATGTATATATTTAAAGAAAGAGGAAGAATATGGAAGTAATTGATATTAAGTGATTATGATAATTTCAAAATTATAGTAAAGTTTTCACTATAATAGATTTCCTTTTTAAAAAACTGATATAAGCCAATTATAGCAGTAAGAAGGAAATATTTTATTATTCGTTTGTAACTTAATTTCATATGGAATTGGGAAGAATGAATTTAAGATTAGTAAATTTTTTTTTCCTCTAAATACCTTCCTCTGAAATATAAAATCATTCTGCTTTCTATGAGTTTGACTCCCCCACCCCCACCCCCAGTCTACACATAAATAAGATCATATAGTACTTATCTTTCTGTCTGATTTATCTTAGAATGACGTCCTATAGGTACATGCATGTTGTCGCAAATGACAGCAGATTGTAGTAAAGACCTCTTTTTATGGATGTATGTAATAAAGAGAAAGAAAATGCAATTCAGTTTTTCAAAATCCAAGTTGGCTTTTATATTACTGCATTAATTCCAAAATCCTAGGTTAGGAATGGTAAACAATGGTAGGAAAACTTGAGATGAATATTATAATTTTGAACTATAGTTAATGTTCATAATTTTCCTTCTGCCCTTCCCCTTTTATATGGTTTAAAATAGTTTAAGTAATCTTTTATGAAAATGATACTTAAAAAAATTTCATACTTAGAAATAAGAAAAATTAATTATTACTTAACTCTCATCACCATCAGTGACACTAACAACCATAATGATGTTTACCAGATGTCATTGGTCTTTAGTTGTCCATGTTATTTTTATTTCCCTCAGAAAAAAACCCTGATTGTGAGGGTATAGCTTGGGATACACTTTGGTACACATAGTGTAGCAAACATTATCTTGTAATGTTATTACTGTTATTTACTATTTCTGTTTTTGGAGGGAGAGGAATAACCTATTTCTGATGGTATTCTCAAAACAGAGCAATATACTTTTAAACCAAGTGATGTTGAGGGGAAATAATCTGATGACTTGCTTGTTGCTGTTTGAATTCAGGGCAATGACATTTAAAGTGGTTCTTATGAATAAGAAGATTGGTCAAAAGTCTTCCTCTCTAACATACCACTCAAATGTCCCAACCTCATCCCATTCCATATTTAGCTTTTAGAGATGCCTGAGGATTCTGGTTCCTAACTCTGTAAAGGTTCTTTCAGATGGCTTCTTATCAGGGCCACCTCTGCAGGAAGCAAGTGTTAAAAATCAAAAACCTAAATAACTCTATCTACTGCTTATCTTCTAAAATCTTAGTGTATCTCCCTTTTGACACTATCTGTCCTTGTGGATTTAGATCTGTACTGTTTTTAATATTTTGTTACAGAAAGCTTACAATGTTTTTTATTTTAATGACTGGGCAACTTGATCTGTTTTCTAGTCGTTCCCATTCAGTTTTCTCTGTTACAATACATATGAAAGAAACTACAATTGATGGAGAGGAGCTTGTTAAAATTGGAAAGTTGAACTTGGTAAGCATATACCTTAATATCAGTTTTTGTTTTCCCCTCTAGCTTTATTGCGGTATAAATAATAAATAAAATTACATATTTAATGTATATACCATACTGATTTATGTATAGTTTGTGAAATAATCACCCTAGTCAGATTAACGCATCCATCACCTCACATAGTACCTGTTTTAGGATGAGGACACTTAAAATTTCTTCTTATCAAGTTTCATTATGGCATTACTAACTAGAGTTCATACTACATTAAATCCTCAGGACTTACTCATTTTATTACTGAAGACTTGTACCCTTTAACCAGCATCCTCACATCTCCCTTACCTCAGCCCCCCTCCAGCAATCATTCTACATTTGTTTCTATGAGTCCCATCATTCCCCTCAAATTCTACATATAAGAGACATCATACTGTATTTGTCTTTCTCTGTCTGGTTTATCTCACTTAGCATGTCTTCATTCTTATTGCAAAGCAAAGGATTTCCTTTTCTCATGGCTGAAAATTGTGTGTGTCTAACATTTTCTTTATCCATTCACCCATCAACAGACATTTAGCTGTTTCCATATCTTGGCTATTGTGAATAATGCAGTGAACTTGGGGATACAAATAAATAATCTCTTTGAAATAATGATTTTATTTTCTTCAGATTACTTATACATAGAAATAGAATTGCTATATTATAGGAATTCCAGTTTGATCTTGATCATCTCATAGTATAGCTTGAAATGTTGTGCCTCTAGATATTTTTTATAGTCACTAAGTTATTAGCTTTGTAGTGTGTTGTTGTATAACACTACTTTACTGGTTATTTAATATATTAATATGAGAATGAAAGTCTTCAAGTGTAAATCTGGTAGACTGACAACTTACTTTTATTTTTAAAATTCAAGGTCGATCTTGCAGGAAGTGAAAACATTGGTCGTTCTGGAGCAGTTGACAAGAGAGCTCGGGAAGCTGGAAATATCAATCAATCTCTGCTGACTTTGGGGAGGGTTATTACTGCTCTTGTAGAAAGAACACCTCATGTTCCTTATCGAGAATCTAAGCTAACTAGAATTCTCCAGGATTCTCTTGGAGGACGTACCAGAACATCTATAATTGCAACAATTTCTCCTGCATCTCTCAATCTTGAGGTAAACCTTTCAAAAGGTATCTGCAAGCATAGTAATCATAGTTCTTATTTAGCTATCATTTATTTTAAAAGTGTGTTATTTGTAATTGTATATGATAGTAAAAGAATTCAGACATTGTATATGGACATAGAATGCTACTGAAAAATTGTCTTTTCCTTCCTAGCAGAGTTTTAAAATCTTTTCTCTTTTTATTGAGGTATAATTGACACATAACACTAATTTCAATGGTATGACATAATGATTCAGTATTTGTGTACATTGGGTAGAGTTTTTAATCCTAAAAAGCCTGTTAATAAATAACTTCACATGGTTCTGCAAAGAAAATTGCGATGGTCATTAATAGTGGATATTTGTATGGGGTACGATTTAACTGAGGAATATGAAGCAGATCAAGCGAAAAGGTCAAGTGAATACTAGTGTTGTAGAGAGCCTCTGAATGCTGTGTCATAGGAGTTCTACTATTCCAATTTGTTGGAGAAAAGAAACTTTCTTCAACATTGTTGGGGAAATTGGGCAGCTACATGCAAAGAAATGAAACCTAAACCATTATTTCAAACGATACACAAAAATTAAGTCAAAGTATGTTACATCCAAAGATGTAAGATGTGAAACCATAAAGTGCATACAAGAAAACATTGACACTACATACTTTAGAGATATTTTTGAGTACTCAGCTTCAGCAAGTGGAAAAAAATTAATGAAAATAACATCAAACTAAAAAGTATCAGCACAGTGTAAGAAATGCATTAAAAGGAATAGACTGAACAGGAAAAAATATTTGCATATCATACATTGAACAAGAGATTCATATCCAAAATATATAAAGAACTCATACAATTAAAAACAAATAAACCCCCAAATAACCCAATCAAAAAATGGGCTAAAGATATTAATAGACCTCCCTGATGTCACAACAGGTTAAAGCATGGCATTGTGAAACTCTTAGCCACTTCTGCACAAGTTCTATCCCCAGCTAGGTGGCGAACCTACATGGTGTAGCAGACCTCTCCTGACCCACCCACTGCTCCCCTCAGTCTGCCTGCTCTGCTCCCCACTCTGTCTCTGGTGAGTCCTTTCATTGACCCCGCACCTCTGGCCTATAACCCAGTTCTGTATGCATAACTAAATTCTTATAAAAAAAGTTAATACACAATTTTCCAAAAAGAATACATATATAAAAATAGATAAAAAAGATTATCATCTTCCCTTACTATTAGGAAAATACAAATCAAAAGCACAGTGAGATACCCACCTCACTTTTATGAGAATGGCCTATATCAATAAGACTAGAAACAAATGTTGGTGAAGGTGAAGGAAAAGAAGAAAAAACCCTCAGATACTGTTGGTGGGAATGTAATTTTGTGCAATCCCTATGGAAAATGGTATGGAAGTTCCTCAAAAACTAAAAATATATCAACCATATGATCTAGCAGTTACATTTCTAAACAGAATTGTTGAATATGAAAACATTATTTGAAGAAAATAAAACCATTACTTTGAAAAGATCCCTTTGTTTATTGCAGCACTACTTATTATAACCAAGATATAGAAACAGGCTATGCGCCCATCCACTGATATTTGAATAAAGGAGATGTGAAATATAGATTATAGAATATATAAATATATCTATATAGAGTGAGAACGAGGGTATATTACTCTGTTATGAAAAGATAAAATACTGCCATTTATGACAACATAGAAGGAATTATTCTAAGTGAAATAAATCAGAAGGCAAATATTGAATGATTTTACTCGCATAGACTATAAAGAAACAAAGCAATGTTCACAGTTGTCATTACTTTTACTGCCAGTGTATCTCTAGGTATCTGGGTTTCGACCACAAGAGAAGCAAGTCAGAGGGCTTTTCACCATGGCTTCTATAAAGCCACATACAAGCGTGCACAGGGGTGAAGAAAGCAGATTGTTACAGCCCCAACACTGTGTCACTCCATAAAATTAGATCTTACCAGAAGTCTGCTGAACTTATTCTAAACAACTATTGGTGCTTTTCAGGAGCCAGATGAAACCTGCCTGGCTCACCATTTTATTGACACTAAACTGCTTTCCATGTGAAATATATAACAATTATGCCCAAAGATGGCCAGCTTGCATGCTGCATGTGTGAAGAACATTTATAAGAATCCACAATCATGAGAAGCATCTCATTTCAAAAAGAAACTTCTTTTTTTCCTTTATTGGTAGTTCTGAATGTGTTAGATAGTTTAAGATTTACTTTATTTATACATCCAAGAACTAGAGTATAAGCCAGAGGTGAGAGACGGGGAGAAGTTAGAGGATTCACCAGAGCTAGAGTGGGAAGCACAACAGGTGGATTCCTGAAAAACACTACTGAGGGGAGCATCAGGCAAGACAGGAGAGGTCTGTTGCACTATGTGTGTTAGGTCCCTAGCTGGGGATTGAACTGGTGCTGCAGTGGCTGCAGATAACTTCATAGTGTTGAGACTTAACCCCTTGTGCCACGAGGGAGGGCTTGTTAGATATTTTTTATCCACGGGGTCAAAAGGTCCTAAGTAATATATGGCTGTAAATGGAAAAATAAGGTGCAGAAATCAGATTTTTTTAAGTTCTTCTATCTTCATTTGTGTGTGGATTTTTAATATAAATGTGGTGACATAACACATTCATGCAAGTGAAAATGTTTCAGTGAACAACTTTTAGTGGTTCGACTTTATAACAATTAAGAGAAATAAACCTGTTAAATATTTCTGGACAACGTCAGCAGCTGGATATTTTTAAAAAGTAAATTTCTTACTGATTGCAAATAAACAGTGTTTGTAGCATTTGTGTCATACAGTATATTCCATCCGTTCACTGTACCTTTCTGAGTTGTGTTACATGTAGCTACATGTTTTTATTGTCCATTTTCTGTACTGTTTCTGTAAGTTTGCTGTTATACTATTTAAATAAAAGAACAAAGTAAAGGAACAGATAAATAGTCCTTAGATTCTGACTATAGAACTGAGGTTATCAGTGTGTGTGCAGAAAGGGTTGTTGAGCAAGAGGGTACAGGGAATCCAATGGATTGTAGTGGGAGACTATTGGTACTCAGTGATGGGCATGGTGTGATACCATATATTTGGAGAGGTATTTACCTGTACTACCAAGATAGTGATGTAAACTGATATTGCTTCAATAATAATAATAATAAAAGATAGTTCATCTAGCTGTATTATAAAACATTTACAGTAATTGGCCTCTTGGTTCTTCACAGGAAACTCTGAGCACGTTGGAGTATGCTCATAGAGCAAAGAACATAATGAATAAGCCTGAAGTTAATCAGAAACTCACCAAAAAAGCTCTAATTAAGGTAGGTGAATTTTTTGTCGAGTAATAGAATCTTGTTTGACAAATGTGAAAATAAAGAAATAAAAGAGGAAGCTGTTAAACAGTTTTTAAAGTGCCAAGGCTTTTCCCCCTAATGATTTAAATTATCTTATATGTTAAAAGG